TTTGATTACTTTTCTTTTCATCTTTCTGAATAATTGAACCATGAAGAGATAAATATGAAGAGAGATATAATCCGATGATTGTTTTCCATCTTTAATCATCCACTCATTCATTCAATAATCCAACCATTCATTCACTCATTCATTCATCAATTCATTCATTCAATCATTCATTCATCAATCATTCACCCATTCATTCATTCATTCAGTCATTCACCCATTCATTTCATCCAACAGTTCATTTATTTATCCTTCTGTTCTAATGATTCCCATCATTTTTACTTCATTTTTTTTCTCGAACCATGTCATATATTTCTTGTCATTCTTTCATTTTGTCCTCTTTCTTTCCTTTTTTTTTCCAATCCCCTCCTAATATCCTTTCTATGATCACTTTGATGATTTCTATTGGTAAGCAACAAATCCATTAACGATAAGACAATCATAACTTTGGTATGATAACATCATCACTATTTCTTTTACTCATGGATATATATCAAATAGAAATGTCACATATTATTGGCTGCTATCTTTTCTCTTTTTAAGCAAATATCTTACCGATTTTAATGTTGAGAAAAAAAACAAAAAAAAAAAAAGAAAGAAGAAATGAAAAGATAATTGTGAAAATTAGGAAAAATGATATGAAAGATATCATTCCGTTGATTTATCCGTTTTATATCTTTTCCATTCGGAAAAAAAATTTGAAATTAGAAAATGCTCATTAATTAGCGGAAGTGAAGGAATGAAATTTCTACCGGAATGCTAAAAATTATTTCCTGTAATTCTCAGCTATATATCACTTAATGTCACTATTCTACTTATATATGTTTGATTTGTGTTTTATACCATTTTAGTAATTAATTGCCAAAATTCGATTGTACAAAAGACATTACGAGCGAAATATATATTAACACATGTAGTTGTAATTTTCATTTTAAATATTTAAACGACTAAAACTAATACGAAAACAAATCAAAGAAAAAAGAAGATAATAAAATTGATAAAAAATAAATAAAATTTAATTGCATAAGAACACACATTTAATCTAAAAATATCAATACCGTACAAGACACTGTAACAATACAGTATAAAACACTTAGTCTGATTTACCATGCCAGTATAAAACATTTAGTTAGTCTGATCTACCGTGCAAGATACCGTCCGTGCATAATATGTGCATATATATAAAACATACTGTACAAGAATACCGCGTACATTTAACCAGATGAACTGTGTAAAATACTGAATATAGTACGATAAAATACGGAAATACTGCATATATTTTACTTGATTTACTGTGCAAGAAGTTACTGTATAAAATATAAAATTTATACTATACAAAGACACTGAGTACATTTAATCTAATTCGCCATGCTGTGTATGTTATAAAAAAAATTGTTATAAATTACTGTATATAAAATAAAATTACTGTATGTAATGCTAAATTTATGCCGCACTGTGTACGTGCAATCTGATGTACCGTTCAAGATAAAGTATAAATATAGCATAAAACATAAGGATACAGCATACATTTAACCCGATTTATTGTACAAGATATTATATAAATTGTAAAATTTACATTGTGCCAGGACGTAGTATACATTTAATCTGACTAAATTCATACAACGTAAAATACTGTATACATGTAATCATGTAAAACTCATACTGTATAAGGTACTGTACTTATATAATCTTGTAAAATTTAGCGAAAAGAGCAAATAAAGGGTGAAAATTTCTGCATAAACTTATTTTCCTTTTTTTTTCCTCGCTTTCTCCTTCACGCATGACTTGCATATAAGCAATTATCTGATCAAATGTAACGATAATTTATTTATTCATTCATTCATCGCAATGCTTCCACTATATTTCATGATTGAAGCATAGAAAATACATGCATTGTGAACTAAATTGATAACAATTAATGAATTGAAATGGAATGAAATGAAATAAAATGAATTTAAAATAAATGCATTATTTATTTCTCACTAAATAAAATATGTCTCATAGCATATAATGCCGTCACAGTGCATATGTTGACACATCGTATACATTCAAATCCATTTTTAATTTTTGGACCATTTAAAAAAAAAATGAATGAATGGATTGAATTTATGTGATGTAATAAGAAAGAAATGAAAAAAATAAAACCGTTTCTATTTTTCTTTTTAGAAATTTCATTAAAAAAATTTTTATCATTTAAGTTAAACAAGAAAATTGAAAGGAAAAAAACCAGCACAATAAGACAAATATTTGTTTTTAAACATATCAGGGAAATTATTTTTTTAAAAAAAAGGATAAATTAAAAAAACAAAAAACAGGTGATAAATGTGAAAATTTTATTTTAAAAAGGAAAATAAACAGAGAAAAAAAGATGTAAATACATTACTTCCTGACAAATATCGTTTTAAAAACTAATTTATTTATCTTTTCTTTTTCATTTTTCCATTTTTTTTTCTGCAGCAATAGTATAAATTAAAAGTGGATGACTAAGAATAGGAAGAGAAATATTTTGTAACATTAGAGGAAATAAAATATAAACAATTTATAATATATTGGGTAATTATGATTTTAACTAACAATCGTTATCAGCTATTCTAAATTGAAAGTCATCATAATCAACATTTAATCTAGTTTTCTTAATTGTTAATTAATCATCGCTACGGATTTTATGCCATTCTAGATTCGTTTTTTTTCTTTTTTTTAATAATGATAACATCATCACCATCATCATCACCATCAATCATCATCATCAGGTTATCAGTGAATTAAACTTTTAAATTGCTTGTAAAACTAATTATTGCCGGGAATATTACATCGCTTTACAAAAGAGAGTTAAATCGAGCAATTATTTCAATAATGAATTAAAATAAATCCTTTTTCTTTTTTAACCAATAATATTGTACACTGATATTTAAACATGAATACCACTACTTTTGGAATATTTTTATTCATTTGTTAACTGACGACCAAGTCAATAAATATCTGCATATATATGTTTGTTTACACATTTATATGAATTAATTAATTAATTAATATTTCCATCAAAAGCATTTTAAAAGCAAATTGAAAAATGAACATTATTTATAAGAGGAGATGATGAAAGGAATGAAGATGAATGCGATAAATGCCTTTTAAAGAAGTAATGTTTTTCTTTTGCTTTTGTTTTGCTCAGTTCTCTCTCTCTTCCATTTTACAAGAGATATATCTCTTAGCGAATAAATTACAATCATCCATTTTTTCATTTTTTTTTTTTTGTTTTTTTGATAATTGGGGAAAAAAGAGTGAATTGAAATGAAATGAAAATAGAAAAGAAAAAAATGAAAGTAAAATTTATTTGAAAATACATTACAAAAAAAAGAAATGTTAAATGAAGCAATTTGAAAAGAAAATTGATTACAATCCTTCCATTTTCCTTTTCTTTTTAAAATTATATTCAAATTCTCAATACATATACTTGATTACATATCAGATACTTGATTACATATCAGTAATATAATGAGAAAATTTTCGTTTCTATTTCATTCCTAATTTGTTTTTGCCATTATAAAATATCTGGTTTGCACTTGAGCAAAAAAAAAAAACTTATCACATCTTTGTCATTATTATTCTTTACAACAACTTCCATAGAGAAAAAAGAAAGAGAGAAAAAAACGAGAAGAAAGAATGACTAATGAATTGTTAGAAATGAATTTAATTGAAATTTCGAATGTATAAACACTCCCAGTTTTTCCTGCCATATCTCTTATATTTTTGTCAAGATGAGGAAAAAAGGAATGATGAAACAGAAAAATTATTTAATGTTTATTTTATGCAAGTAAACGTTAACCGATGGTTTTATAATTGTAATTGCAAGAAAAGAAAAAAAAACTATGAGTAATTTAAGAGCAAAAATTTTGATGCATATATGTTCATTGAAAAATAAATAGCATATATAACAACAACAACAATTAACATTGAATGACTCAATCGAATTCGATCAGCAACGAGAATTCAACAATAACAATAACAATTGACACTGAATGATTGAAAGATCAGATCGGAATTGATCAACAATAATAATTCACAGCAAATCGAATTCTATCAATAACAACAATTTAATCATTGAATGACCGAATCGAATTTAATCAACAATATTTTGAAGGTCAAGTGAAAACCAATAATGTAGCTCGCAGTAAAAAATCAAAACAACAACAGTTTATATTTGAAGATCAAATCGAAATCGATTTACAACAACAACAACAGCAACAACAGCAACAACAGCAACAACAACAACAACAAAACAACAACAACAACAAAACAACAATAACGATTGCAACAGCAATAACAACAAGACAACAACAACAACAACAACAGCAACAACAACAACAACAGTAACAACAACAACAACAGCAACAACAATAACAACAGCAACAACGACAACAACAGCAACAAAGTGGAAAAAAAAAGTAAATGAAATAACAATGAAGCACATATATATATATATAGATTTGTCTAATTACAACATCAAAAGGATAATTGCGCCGGAAACAATAAAGAAACGCCTCATTTCTCCATTCATCCCTTTTATTTAATATGTAACAAAAAAACGAGAAGATAATATACATCTTCGTCTCCCTCTCTCTCTTTTATATATTATTTCATTCTTCCTTCCATTCATAATTTTTGTTTTCTTTCGACAAATGAAAGAAAGTAAATGATGATGTGAAAGAAGAACGATGAAAAATGTCTCCTTTGATGTTTTTCTCTTTCCCTCTCTCTCTCTCTCTCTTTTAATTTTGAAAAGATTCCGCATCCTACCTCCTCGAAACCCGCCTGTTATCACACTTTTCATCCAATCTTGTTTGATGTTTGAATTGTTTTGGGTAAGAAGTATCCGATACATCCATTATATGAAGATGACAATTAGCGCTTATAGTGCCGCTAACTTTGAATGAATGAAAGAAATGGTTCATTGTATGTATATTTTGAAAAGATAGAAAGAACAAAACAGGTGTAAGTATTTTATCTTTTCTTTTCCCTAATCCATCACTTTTTTTAAACTATTCTTTCCCTTTTATAAATCTTTTTGATTTTATTTAAAATATTTTAAAAACATAGATTTGTTTTCCATTTGGCTTTTTTTTTATTCATCAATCAATGAAAGATGAAAATAAATCAATGATGATTAATTTGATAAGGAATGGAAAAGAAAATTATATATTTACAAAATGAAATATAATCATCATATAAATTGTTTTGAAAATTGGCAAAAATTTATCAAAAAAAAAAAACAATTTAATTGTTAAATCATTCACCCATTGGATGATAAATTGATAAAATGATAAATGAAAACAGTAAGAATTTGAGAGAGAGAGAGAGAGAAAACGAAAAGAAAACTTTTTTTTTTTCACTCAAACCGATGATAAATTTTCTTTCTCGCAATGCAAACATGTTGTCGCTTTTTTTTCTTTCTTTTTAAATTTATTTTATTTTTGTTTTAAAAAGAAAACAAGCATTTGCTATGAATGATAACAATGAAAATCAGACATTTTTCAAAATTTAAAAAAATTGCAGAAAAGATCGATAAATCACATAATTATTGTAAAAATTATGATTTTAGAAATTTGCTTAAATTAGTTTAATCCAAAAAATCGATAATCATTTGTAAAATCATTTATTTGATGAAAAATGAATGAAATGAAATGAAAAGACAGGAAAATGAACGATTTATAGAAAAAAAAAAATTTTTATTTTATATTTACATATACATATATTAAATTTTTTTTTTTTTTGTTCAATTTGATGAATGAAATAGCAAATAAGTAATCATAGAAATAATGTAACAATGATAACTATTTTGATTGGTAACCTTTGTGCATTACAATATGATAACGATATCTTTCAGGATCAATTTTACCAAATTTCGGGAATTTTTTGATCTTTTTTTTTTAATTGAATAAATGAATAGGTAATTAATTAGTCGTGTAAAAATACGACTAATTAATTACCTATTCATTTATTATTTTTAATACCGATTGCAATCACTTTGATCTTTTTCATAAATTTCTTCAATTTATTGATGGATAAGAATGATAAGAAAAGAGTAAGAGAAAAAGAAAAAACAAAAACAAGAACAAAACAGGTTGAAAGGAAATGAATGTAATGATGAATTTTTGGTAGATTTAACGAAATGACCTTAACATGAGTAAACAGATGACCTAAAACGATAGGAGTATTTAAAATAATAGGTCATGAATAAAAAAGGAAAAAAAATAAGAACGAAGGAAAGAAAGATGATGAAGTAGGAACAATTTAAAAGGAATATAAGGAAAGAATGGATGACCACCCAAAAGAGTTGCAATATTATAATTATATGTCCGATTCATATTACCTTTGCATGATTAAATCATTGATGAATGAATAATAAATTATACAATGAAATATTATATTTGAAATTTATTAATTTAATTTAATTTATTAAATATATTTAATTGAATCTTTAATCATGGAAATAAAATTTAAAAAATTTTTGAAAAAAAATGCAATTTCATCATCCATTGATTCATTCATTCATCATTCATACATTCATTCATTTATACATTCATTCATTCATTCATTCACTCACTCATTCATTCATTCATCCATCCATTCATTCATCCATTCATTCATTTCTTTCATTTTATTTGAAATCTTTGCAGATTAACAGCTGGTAATGAGAAAGATATTAGTAAGGCTAAGCCTATGATTTTCAAAAATAATTGCATGCTTTAGCGACTCACAATTCCTTAATTAATATGAATATGACATTTGCATATTTTTATCTTATCTATGATTTGGTATTAATATTTGACAATTTCTTCTCCTCCTCTTAATGATGGTTTCTTAATTTGTTTCAATTTTTTTGTTGACATACAAGGACGAATAGCATAACAAATATATATATATATATATAATACTACTACCTTTAATACTGCT